ACACACACAACTTCTATCCCACTGCTGATCCCCCCCCCCATCCAAACTGACCCCTTCTGTGAGATGGAGAAAGCAGTGCTTGCAGGCCTTCACTCGCTCCGCCCCCGGGGAAGATTGCCTAGTTTACACCTGGAAAAGGGTCAATATCTCCCCCTACCCTGCAGGCTTTTACCCTCAATCTTTAATACTTGTCTTAAATTTAGGTGATTCCAAAATCATCCTCATTCCAGAGGGCAGAGACACCTCAAGTAGGCTCCTATCCACTGGCCTGTGTTACAAGTGTTGCAGTAAAGTGCATTATTTTAATGAAAGAATGTTAAATTCTCGAAATTGTCACATATATTTTACTTCTGAAAGTCATCAAAACAAATATGAGAAGGAAATAGAGAAGGATATCGTCCTTTAGGTTTCAGTCAACATATCAGCAAAGTTCTTTTTTGATGTTCAATAATTAAAGATACTTTTGTTTGGTTCAGTATGCTTTATTCTGTGCTTATTAACAATGCAGTGCAAATTTCATGTTTCAATGTTTTGTATGATTTAATGAATTAAAGTATGCGACATACTTCTTTATTTTTAGTATTGTTACACTTCTTATTCTGACTACTAAAACAGCCTGTCAATGACACTGATTTTGAAGGAAATTAGAAGTTGTATGTTAGAATATGTTGAAGAATGTCTTTAGTGAAACACCCCTTTGTGCTGACTACTTTAATTTCTAGCATAAAGTAGTTGCCATATAGATGTGAAGTGTGTTTATTGTAGACAATTAATTACGTAATTTACTCCTATAAATTGGTTGTTGATTCTTTCCCAAGGGAAATTTTACTATAAATAATAAAATACAGAATATAAATACACTAATTTAGTTGATTTGTAAATAAATTCAACAATTAGGGAGCTTGAGAATATGTAAATAAAAATTATGTATACCTAAAATATGGCACAAAATCCTCTTGTTTTGAAGATATAAAAATGTTTGAGTTTTGAGAAGGGGAGTATGCTAGATTTTCCATCAGCTACCAGCCTTATTTTCAAAATCTTTATTCTATGGGGTAAGGTGCTCCAGCATTTTTTGTCTGAAATTTACTTTATCTGTGAACACCATTGCCATCTGAAATAAACATCGATTGAAATAAATGCAGAGTATTATTTCTTTGTTTCTCATATGGGAAGCAAGGGCAGGTTAAAGGACAGACTAGATGTACAACCAAGTTACTGTGGAGGAGCAGACAGGCAGGCAGGCAGGCACTCTCTTTGTCTGCCGTCTACTCTGCATTTACTAGCCTACTTTTTGAAATGAAATTTTAAGATGTAAAAGATTTTTTTTGAATTAAATGAATCTATTATGGTTGCTGTTGAAAGTGGTCACTTTAAACTAGGAGAAAAGCTATTTTAGGTAAACTAGCAATTGATGGTGGTCATGAATTGACAGAGGATTGGGGGTAATCAAATTTAGCCACATTGGTGTTATGGTAAAATAATTCCATTGCACCAAAAATTGGTCAGAGATAGGTGAGTTTGTCAAAAGGTAGATTTAGCTGTATTTTTTTTAATCAGTGAAATAGTAAAATATTATTGTCCCAAACTGTAACTGATTATTTTCTGTAAACCAATTAGTTTTGGCAATAAATCTGGGGATGATTGATACTACTTTATTTACTTGACTATAAGTTCACTTTGACTATAAGACAACCCCGTAAATAAGAAGTGACCTCCTGAGAATTTTTAAAGTTTTTAATGAGTTCTTATTATTCAGTCCAAATTAAAATTAAAAATGGTCTAGAAAATGATCTTGTTGATGGAAATATTAAAATGTATTGCCTGAGCTATCACAATTTTCCTCGTTCCTTAAAATTATCACTATAATTTTTTTTTAGTCCCTGTAATGTTTCACGTATATTGCTTTTCTTTCTTTTTTGACCACCTCCCATACTACATTGTCGTGATGTTCTAGGCTACCTTGGAAGTTTCACACACTGAATATGTTTTCACCTTTCATCTGACGTCGCTTCAGAACATTCTCTTCTGAATTAGCAGTAGTTTTTTGTGGGTGTCTTGCTCTGGTTAGTGATTGATTGTTTAACAGTTCTTTCACATTCGTTACAGAATATATTTGAAATTCACATTGTTGAATGTCAGTTCATATATCACTGTTACGCAGGAGAGAGCAGCAAGTTTTCGAGGTTGGGAAGTTTTGCTTAGAATATTTATTTTTTAATCATTCTGTCACATCTGGTTGGATGTATATTGTGTATTTTTAACAATTTTTTTTCTTCTTCATTTCCATCTCTTTTGAAAGCCTTGTTGATCAGTGTACCATGTAACAAAAGCTTAACATGTAGCTCAGGATGGACTTACCTAGAGACACCCAAGTTTGCTTCAGTGCCACGATCAGAGGGTGATGATGGTGGTGATGACGACGATTAAGAGTGTTTTGGCTACCGGTATGCACTATTACACTACTAATTTTCGCTAGTATATTACTGATATTACTGTTCTATACTACAATATTTACTATTATTCTTATATATTATTTATGCTAATTCAGGTATAAACTGTGTACTGCTGCCTGTAAATTAATTAATTAAATAAATTGGAAGCCACTACAATAATTTTTATTTTTTTCATCTTTTATATCACTGTTTACTACAATGCAATTTGTTTGAGATTCTCTCTTTACAAGTTCATTCAAAAATATGTATCAGGATAGCCTGGTAGATACCAAGAATATTTTGCAAATATGAGATATTGTCGATACATATGATATTTATGACCTCTGTAACTTATCACCTCAGCAATTGCATTGCTTGTTGTGGAAAGGCTGTGTAAATACATAAATTCTTACTGACTAGGCTTAATTTGCGAATATAAGATGACCCCGTATTTTTCAAATGAGAGATTTGGGTAAAAGTTTTGTGATAACTTCAGGTAAATACAGTAATTCAGTTTTAATCATCTCTGAAGAAAGTCTTCAAATGAAAACAAAATTTGCTTGCTATTCAGTGTTATTTCATAACACTACATACTTTTAACAGAAATAGAGACTTTGTGACTTGAGTCGTATAAAGCTTGAGGTACACAATGACAAGTGCAGATGGGTGAGTGTCCAATGAAAACACCAAAAGTAATGGAATTATTGTATGATTTTATTGCCATATATTATATGAAAAGAAAAATTAGCACAAATAAAAAAGCAGACCTTTCACCAAATTCCAAATAAACAGATCAATGAAATATTCAGGAATACACAAATAGGGGACTTGATTTTAAAGGCCTCATACTAGTGGACTGTTGGCTTCCAATGGAAATTTTTTAAAATTATATCTATTGGGGTTGCAGTGCAAGTAAATCATTTTATCAAGGGACCAGTCTTGTAATTCTTGTACATTACTCTTGTTTTACTAAGTGTACTATTATAAATTATAGGCCCAGCATTCATGTGAAGTAGGGACTAGTTGGCCATAATGTCGATATATGTAAAAGAAATGAAATAATATTTATTTGAAAACAGGAGAGAGAAAAAGAGTGAATATTTTTTTAGAAAATCGAGCTTGGATATAGAATATCTAAAGTGTGTGAAAACTGAAAATTTTAAATCGGCACGAGTGATGTTAGAATCATTATCTACCTCTAACTGGGAAGGAAAATTGTTCATACCCCTGTCATTGGACCATTAGCTCTTGCTTTATTTCCACAAAAGATTGTTTTCCTTTGAATTTTAACTGAGGAATATTTCACAACTTGATATCAGGGCTCACAAGAGCTGTAAATTCTGTGATCATTTACATGAGTATTACCTTTACTTTCATATTCACTACCATATAAACTTTAAAGAAAAATTTAAAGAGGTACATATTTTCCTGTGACTTAACCTATGTTGAATTTGAGTTCAATATTATTCCGGAACACTTTTTGCTATTAATTACACTAGCCTTACGTTGTGTACATAGGGTACATTGTGTTTAAAAATTCATACTATTATGTGTGGGATGATGCCTATGACAATACCTTAAAACCATTACAGAGTATTCAAAAGAGAATTTTCAAAATTATTTAAGAAAAAAAAATACAATGTATAATATTTATGTAATATTTTTAAAGAATGAAGTATGATTTCTGTTAAAAAAAATAAGTTTTTGAAAACTTTGTGGTATGTAAAAAAGTGTCCAGCAACAGTGTGTCACATTATTGGTACCACCCATATTTAATAAAGAAATTGGTTGATGAAGTCATTCTTATATTAATTATAGATTAGATAATGTGTAGAGCAGTGGTATGAAATATATTAATCATACCTCTGCAAACAATATAGAGAATCAGAGAATATTTGATCAACCTTGAGACATTGTCTCGGCCCTATTCATGTCATTTGAATGAGAGAAATGTGATATACCAGGCCCACTCACTGCATGTATTTCCTCAGTGGATAATTTTAATTTGTATTTACAAGTCTTTTAATAAATTGAATTGAACTGATATGCCTGTATAATTTAGTAACGATTAAAACTACAATGGTTATTCATGGGTACCCAGGATTATTTTTAATCTTACACAGGCAAAATTCTATTCACAAAATACAACCCCAATGTTTAATTAATTTTATTGAAATTTATTATAAACAGTTAAAGCACTGATGGGTTTTCATTAATTGCTCAAGATTCACTGAATGGTTATGATTAGTATTGTTAATTGAAAAACAAATGATTTTTTTTCAAATTATAGCATGAACAGTCATTGTAATTGTTAAAATGGTTTTCACTTCTTTTCTCCATCTCATGACTTTCATAAGAATGTGCGTCATTATAAAACCATGGAATTGAAATAACGTCAGAATCATTAAAATATTACTTCTTTCTTGTGCATGCAGAGATATATAAATTTTATATTAAGGAACTGACAGAAATACGTATTGTAAGAGTTTAAGAAATTTAAATTATTACCATACACTACTTCACCGTTTGAGCGAAATAATTTATATGTGTGTAGTGAAATGCCATGATAGTGAAGATTGTAGTTAAAATTGAAGCCTGAAGAAAGAATGTTAGTGGCAAAAAGGAGGAGATATTGTTCTTTAAAACAATTTGCCCACAAACTTTTTGCAACTGGCTGTTATTGCAATAAACACAAACTAATAAAAAATATTACTTATCAGTCTTCATTGTGTATTAGTTGTTATTTTCTGTATCTTCTAATTTGAGACAATCATTGGTAGAGATTAAAATGGAAACATATCAATTAAAATTTCACATGTTGAATTTTTAAATGCTTGTGTTACATGTACAATATTTCACAAAATAGTTTTTCACATCTTCTGGTACATCTCTATAAATAGTCAAATATATATAAAGTATAATAGATTATTGAACACTTTTAATAACTACACACAAGTACAAATCAATATGCAGAGAGAGACTCACCATGTCAATATTTCAAAATAATTATTTAAGTACACCATATTCATTGGATGGATGTGTTACGTGAAACACATTGTTGTAACGAACATCTTAGGTTGATTGGCCTGGATGATTGACGTCTACAGGCAGTGGTGAACGGGACCAAAATGTGGTAGGAGATTTACAAAGGAATGAGAGCAGGCAAGGGTGGTAATGTGGTTGGTAGTTGAAAGGAAAGGTGGGGATTAGGAGATCTAGGGATAATAATATGGTAAAATTAAACAAAAAGGAATAAGGAGACATAATTGCATAGCATTTGGAATCTCATTGAATAAATTACAGAATTGGTAAAGGAAGAGATAAAATCACCTCAATACCTTTGGTAGAAAATGGTATAGATGACATATTAATCTGTATCCATGAAAATGACTTTGAATGTTCTTAACACATTTCATTTGTATGATGATTCTATTCAATTCGCTTGAGAGAGAAAGTAATCAATTCATAAACTTCCTTGACATTAACATAAAACGTGAAAATGGAATGATTATAACAAATTTGGACAGGAAAAGTAGTGCTAGGTAACCATGTTTTAAATTATTTTTTTAAACATCCCATACAACAAACAATAGATATTGTATATGGCTTTGTAGATAGAGATACAAAGCTAGTCCATCCTGTTCACTATGAACTTAATATAACATTTGTCCATCTCATAGTAATTGAAAATAATTTTCTGACTACATTCATAAGCAGATATATACAAAAGAATCCCAAGAAACTACTAACAAAAAATCGTGACCATTGATATGATATCACTTCTCTTTCCATTTCATTTTCATTTCTTCTAATGAGACAGCAGATATAAAAGTGGTATTTGTCTTGCATCCGAAATCTCAGCCCAGCACACACCCATGGCGACACCAAAAACTGAAGTGACAAATTAAGTCTACTCAAGAACGTAGTGATTCCTTGCTGGCAGACAACTATTGGGAGTACTATAACTGAAAATAACTTAAACATTTACCCCAAGAGGGAGATATAAATATTTGTAAAATCTTAGTTCATTATTCTACAAAGGCACGTCAAAAAGGCAAAATAAAACTTGTTAAAAAAGTTTCATTTTTCATAATTCCTGCTCATGTACTAAAAATGTTCCATTAACTCCTGATATAATAGACACTTTCCTAAACATCTAACATTCCATAATAATAACAGCCCTTTTTCATTTAAGGTGATTCCCTTATTAAGCATTGGAATTGGTCACATTGGACAGTCTTAAAGGAAAATCTGAATCTCGTGTGTGATGCAAGTTGTAGTTGCAGTGTAATGTATGTATACTTATACTCAGATTACAGACCTATGTAAACTTCATAGCTATCAATAGATACAGTACCAGTTGTAATTTCTAAGTGATTCAAATTAGTGATCAAATTCTCATTTGATCTACATGCTGCCTGAAACACTGGTTAATATCAAGTTTCATAAGAAAATATAAATTGTTGTTGGAATACAATGTAATCATGATGCACTCAAAACACTTACATACAATTTTTTTGCAACAGCCTTGTAACAGTAAATGTTAATTTTGCATTATAAACAAACAGTATCTCCTTACCCACTTTTTAATTGAAAATTTATTTTCAGGTGCATGAAGTAGTAGTTTGGGAGGAGAGTTTTAAGGGGTGAAAGAGTGGGCAATCACCGCACTGCTTCAAATAAAAACCCTAAATTGGTTTTATTTATCACACATCTTTCTGTAGTTGTTTATATGTGATTTGATTTGTGAAAATGTTAAAAAATTAATTTTTAGGAGGTAATTTTTGCCACTATAAGAAATTATTTATTTATTGTTCAGCATGAATTTTTCGGAAGATGGCAGTATGGTCATTGATCTGACGCCAGAATCTCAACCCAACCCTTGTCAGTTCTTCCAGGAAGCTTTGTTTTGGATTGGTTGTGATAATGAAGGTAGTGATGTGAGAAATTAGTAAGACACCAGGTTTTTAGGCTCTAAAATTTCATGTTTTAGGTGCCTAGAATACTCATAAGAGGTAAAAAAGGTGTACAATTTCTTAAATAGGTAGTGTAAATTGACATAAAAATAACGTATTCTCATAAATTTTATTGTGCATTGAAGTTAATTGAAACGTGAGTAAGGAATCATGAGGGCGGTAACACTTTTAATGCAAGTAATACCAATGGAAATGTAAAAGTTAAATCAATCATTACTTTTTAATTGTCCTTTTGTGCACAGAAAATTATATATTTTTTTTCAAACCATGCAACTTGTGTATTTTTATTATAATGTTGGAATAACAATTGGTGCATTAGTAATCTCTTTTTACTGATGCAGGGTCCAGTCAGGGTAATCTTCATATTTTTATGTAATACAGATTTCAGCTTCAATATGAATTTCTAGTCAGCAAATCTTTTGATTTAATCTCTGCTGTTTCAATGACAAACAAATAAATAAAAAATAATAATAATTGTATGCCTGAAAGGATGAGGTTTTTTCATCAACTAAATATTATTCCTGGATTTTGTCAAGTCATGAAATGAGGTAGTAATTAATTTCGAGTGTCTGTCTGAAGAGTAAAATAGACCTTTATCTAAAAATACAAAATGTAGTTATGTACGTGAAATAATTATGGTGGGAGAATCCTGAGGAAACTTGCAAACCTGCTTTGTCCACTTCAAATTCAACTTGGATCAGATGGAAATCAGACCCAGGTTACAAAGGTGAAAGGTAAGCATTCTGCCGCTATACCACAGGTTGCCCCTTTAAGTGAATTACACGATATTGGAGGTCATTCACTTAACATGTGTTGGGTGTGCTTTCAAGGTATGATGATGAAACATTTTGTTGATTTATATTTGCACAATAAGTCTTACACAATGAAAGAACTACATTTTCCTTGAAAGTTAAATTTCTGAAAATCCCTCCAGGATTGCAAAAATGCCAGACTAGTGCAATTACAACTGTTTGTATAGGTCATGACTCTGTTCTCTTTTTTAATTCATGTATTTGTTGAAATGATGTCAGAGGTTTTACAAAAATGTTTGAATTTATAACATTGCTTTAACAATAATTTAATAGCACAAACATATTTTCAAATTAACCTGTAATCTGAATAGTCTGATGTCAAAATTACCTATTTGGAGTTGAAGAGGGCATGGTTCTAATTTGTTAAAATGCATTTGTTAGTATGACAATTCAAAGGAGTCCTTGTAGAACATGTGATGGTGAATCGGATAGGGCCTTGCAATATGAATGGTAAAGAAGGCATTTAGATAATATTTTAAATGAATTAAATCAAATGATGCAAAGAAGAAAAGTAGCTAATGGTCGCATAGTTAGCATGTATTAGAATAAATGGTCTTAACTTTGAGAAATAAGACAAGCTTTGGCAATATCCCGAATTATGTTAGTAATGTTATGAGTTCTTGAAGAAAAGAAGTTGATGCACGAAACAGCATGTAACAATCAACCTGTATAATAATAATAATAATAATAATTTTGATATGAAAATTGTATTTTTCCTATTTTAAAATTCTGTATCAAGGGACATTAGTAATGTTAAAAGATTACAGAAGTGTTTGTAATCTAAAAAATTAGTAGTTGTTAATTTTAAATTATTAAGTTGTTAGAAACTAAAAATCATGTATAACAAATTGTTAAATTGTCTATCTCAAATTTGTTTCATTTATATATTTTTTATTGCAAAACACTACACATTTGCCATTTTGCTTGAGTAATTATCGTTACTTCCAAAAATCTTTTATTTTTTTTAGTGGGGAGTCCTGCTCTGTTCTTCAAGCTGGATCAAAATATCAATAAAATTGAATATGTTTGTGTAGAAGGTTTACAGAATGTTTATTGCGTCAATTGCCCTTTCTATTAAACTTAACTATCCCTTTTTGCTTGTGAATAGGCTGACTTGGACCACGCATGCATGGTCTGGGTCCATGCATTCCTGGTCTGCATTTACCTGGGATTTCAAACATTATCTTGGTGGCAGGTGCATGTATTTTTTTTTATCAGGGGAGCAGCATTTAGCTGGATCCGGTTTTTATCTCCCAAGGTTGTTGGCCCTGAGGATACGGAAGAAATGATAGTGAGGGGTGAGAGGATGACACACATACACATATACACCCATGCCTGAGGTGAAACTCGAACCTACGATCTTCTGGTCCGAGACAGTTATGTCACTACTATCTTAGCAAGCTTGGTCATCTGATCAGCAACTACCCTTTTTATTTATTTATTTATTTTTTATATAAGGGGGACCCTTTATGGGTAGCAGTGCCTGTTCCGGTTATGTCAGACTACCAAATTGGTTTACCGACTATAATCCTAAACCTCTTCTCCAGGCCCCATTATCCACTATGCTGTAAAAAAAATTGGTGCTAGTCCCATTTGAGGTGAACTCTGTATTTTTGAAAATTTCAAAAAGTTAATATTCTGAAATAACAAATTTGAAGATAAAGAGTTTTGTCTTAAAATCAAAATCACAAGACAGATCTTCAAAAATGTTTATATTCATTTTTTTGAAAATACATGTAGTTTTTGCACAATTTTTGCTTGAAGTTAATGCAAATTGTAAAAAGAAAAAAAGGGAACCTTTTCTCACAACAATCTCCAAACTTTTTCCTAGGGTAGAAGAAGAAATGCTTGAAGAAGGACTCATTTTCATTGAAATCTCTGAATTTTTGAAAATTACAAATTTAGAAATAATGTGAGGAAGTATGTGATGTTGAGCACCTTTATTATATTTTGGCTCTTTCTAATTTAAATAATTTGTATAAACTTCACTCTTATGCCTTCATTTTTTCTTTCCTGGTCATGCGATCTGTTTTCTAGTTCTAGTACAAAGACTAGTGAATCTTCGGTCTGTGTTGTATTAAAATAGTTAATTTTTCTGCATTTGAAACCAAATGAATTCATGTAATTTAGTACATAAAAAACTTCATATGAGATCCCATTTTGCTTCTATGTTTCTCAAAAGCCAATTTTCTCGTAAATAATTATTTTTGAATGAAAATAATGTGAAGTCTATCCTCTAGGGAATAACTCACTCTAACCCTCTTAAATTGGCACCAATTTATATTTCAAAAATTTCAAAGTATAATGTTGTTGAAAATATAAACTGACAAAAAAAGGTTTTTATTTGTTGGGTAGAAGAGTTGGTGACGATTTTGAGGTCAAAATATTCACATTTTTATTTTAGGTTATGATCTTTGTTCAAATCATTTTACTTCATTTTGCTGCAAGGCATTTTAATGTTACTTGATTATGTAGATGCTTTAAGGCAAAAAAAAATCAGGAAATTGCAGGGAAAATAGAGTCAGGTGACCAGCGGGCACTCTTCTTTTTCTTCTTTTGTTCTGCCTAGATATTGAAGTAAAACTAGGCCAGTCATATAGTAAGGATGAACCAACCACTAGGCATACTTCACAACACTTCAAGGTTACAAGGATGGACACTTTTCTGCAAGGATGAAATGAAAGCAGGTGTTGGGAGATCTCGTACTACACATATCCATGAAGAACAAAAGAACTATAAAGCAACAACAACAAGAAAATATAACTTTTTTGCTTCTTAAGGGTAAGTGAAAATTTAAATAACCAGAATGAGTCATCCATCACTTACGAAAGGCCTTTGCACCCTACAGAATTCTGTATGCTCTATTGATATTATTGTTGTTTACTCATTTTCTTGTACTGGAAAACATCTACAGAGAGGTTTTTTTCCTCTTTTAATGGTTTGTTAACTTATATAAAATTGTTTCAAACCTATCTCAATTAACAAGCCTTGATCTCCAGTTTCACTATCATCATCATGTTCATCATAAACTGCAGGTTATTAGGCCTGTTACCTTTTCCTATTTCTCAGTAGACCAGGAGGCTTACACCTCCAGGTGTTTCTTATCTAGCTATTTCTTTTGTGGTTTTCCCACATCCCTTTGCCCTTTTGGTTTGTACTTCAACGCTGCTTTTGGTAATCTTTCTTGTTTCATTCTGTTAATGTGAGATAGCCATTTTCGTGGTCATTTCTTTATTTCTTCTACTATATTTTTGTCTTTAGCCTGTTTCTGATGTCTTCACTCCTTTGCCTATTCTTTAGTGTCACTCCTGCAAGATGACATAATAATCTCATTTGCATTGCCTTTTAATCTTTGTTTCTCACTACTTTTCATTGTCCAAACTTCCAAAGAATACATGAGGATTGATTTAGATATATTGCAGATTCTTGGTTTGGTCTCTTCAGTCATATCTCGTCCAAAGTGTCTTTTGATTAATCCGTTCCTGTTGTATTTCTGAAGTTTGTTTTCTGCGCCTTTTGGTCTCTGTCCAATGAGGTTGCCCAAATAATTAAATTTAGATACTTGTTTTATTATTTGCCCTATTATTTTCTATTAGTTTCACAATCTTTAGGAAAATAATACAAGTACAATTTTATATGCTAAAAACATTAAAAAAACAGTTTTCACAAAGTTACACTGGAGATGGAGCAGCTTTACCATCCATATTAAATACCAGAGAAACAGGATTTTGAAATGAAAAAAAACCCATTAAATTTCAATTGATTTTTTTAAATTAACTCGATTATTTAATGAAGTATTTATCATTAAAGTTAGTTTTTTCATGTAAAATTTATTAAATGAATTAAGTGTAGACATGTTCTACATACTATTTATGAATTATTAGGGAGGACCTTAACTATGAGTTAAAAACGTTGAAAATTGTTTGTTGTTAATTATTTAAATTAACTTGTAATTATTCACAAAGAATTTAATGATAAATGATATTGTTCAATGTCTGAACAAAATTGAATTGAACAAGAATGTTCAATGCCTATGTTATATATACCTCTATGTATTTACGATAAGATTTAGCATCGACTTTATATTTAAGTAAACGAATCAAATGAAAAGTGTGTAATTTTTTGTATGTTAAATCATGATAAAATAAAACTACCTTGCACAAATAAGAGAAATGTCAATTTGAAAAAATATTATGCAAGAATGAGAGAAAATTACGAAATTCTAGGTTGGTGCCTGATTTTCATCCACTTTCTTGGAGCAACGTTGCCATACTTATGTCTAAATGCATCTTAAAATCAATCTCAATAAAAGGATTGCAATTCCAACTTGGTTCCTTGGAGTTGACTTGGCATTATCCCTACACCACCAGTCTCATAGCTAGACTGTACCATCTTAGACGCTGGAGAAAGTTGAACAATTGCATGTGCAATTTTCAAAAATTCAGAGATTTATTTTTACATTATTTTAAGATTTAATTTTAAGGAACATTTTTCATTAGGGAAAAAATCTTTAACATTGTAAAACTGTTTTTTTTTATTTATTTATTTTTTTATTCTCTACTTTTTCTATTCCTCTACCAGGTTCTTAAGCGTGATTTGATCTCAGGAAAAAATTAAAGAAAAAATTGAAGTCGTTTTCGGGGAAAAATAAAAATTGAATAATATCAATCAAAAAATACACAAAACTACTGGGACTTCCTTAAAAAATTGTACATCACATTGAAATATCCAATTTATTTCATCAGCAACTCATTTAAGAAAAATATCTCTATCATCAATATTATATTTTTCAATGCCATTTTTTTCAGATTTCGAAAATATAGACACTTCGCCGAAAATGGGATCAGCGTTATTTCTTTAGCATCCTTTACTACATCCCAGGAAATAATTTAAAGAAAAAATTAAAGCAGTGTTTGAGAAAGTAATGGTTTAAAAATTGTTTCGCGCAAAATTATCGAAAACCTCTCATATCTTCGAGGGGAAAGGAAGAAAAAACTCTGCTGTGTTTAGCTCAGAGCCAGCATTGCCGCTGACTGACCGGGAGGTTCTTCGACTTTTTGTCCTGACGGTAGTGGATTTTCAACACCAAATAGCTATGTCGATTGCAGCCGCTGTCTGGAGGAGAATTCCGGCGGCCGGCTGCTCTACAGGCCAGTAGGATGGTTTGCCACGATTTCTTGATAAATACCAGGCAAATACTGGAACACTACCCAATGAAACTGGTCACTAACCGCGCGCTATCTTTCCTTCCTCTCCCTTGCTTTCGATCTTTCCTCCCTCTTCCTTTACAGTCACACTTACATGTATCTAATTGGCTGATCGGTAGATGCTGCATCCTAGACAATGGATAC